AATATCCCACAACACTTTCATGTGTTGGGAGCCAGACAGATCTCAGGCTTTCTCAGAGGCTGATGAAAGGACCAATGGAACCTAGTCCTAGTCCCGTGTCTAGATTGGATAACAGAGTTATTCTTGTCCATCTGTCATTGGTGGGTTAAATTTTCCTGTCTGCTCATGTTTTTTACAGAAACTGAGCTGATGCTCAGAGCAGGTACATGACAAGGGTCTCTTTTCTCAAGGTAAAGTGGAAGGGGCTCTGGCAATAGAGAGTGGGATGCAAAGTCAACATGCACCCTGTGCTGTCCAGTTCATTTATCTATTTATCCATTATCTATGTATCTATGTATCTATCTGTCTATCTATCATCTATCTATCTATCTATCTATCTATCTATCTATCTATCTATCAATCAATCAATCATCTATCCATCTATCTATCAATCAATCATCTATCTATCTATCATCTATCTATCTATCTATCTATCTATCTATCTATATCTATCTATCTATCTATATCTATCTATCTATCATCTATCTATCTATCTATCTATCTATCATCTATCATCTATCTATCTATCTTTATTTAATTATGGTTTTTTTTTGGCCTGCTTCCATGTCTGTGCACCATATGCACACAGTGCCCATGGATACCAAAAGATGATATGGGGTCCCCTGGAATTGAAGTTACACACAGTCGTGAGTCCAATCTAGACCAACCATAAACACTGTAGCTCTTGCTGACTCTTCAGAGCATGTCTGGGACCTTTGGCACAGTAAAGCTGAGACCGGGTTTCCAATATGAAAGGACCAGTATTGGCACAGGACACTCCAAGACCAAGTTCTCAGCACAAAGGAGATTTATTTAGCCCAGAGGGGCAGCCACAAGGGGGCTTTTGGTTTCTGGACTTCAATGCTTTGATAGCTGGACCTTGGTAATCCGCTTTACGGGGAGGAAGTGGCCAAATGAGGGAACAGACCTTGTGGCTAGCTTTAGGAATGTAATCTAATGGTTTTCAGCAAGGCAGAGGGGATGGGGGAAGCGCAAAGCCTGCTAGAGCTGTGTTGGCCATGTTTGGGTCTGCCTGAGTCCCTTTGCCTACTCGGGTGTTGGGGAGGGGTTCTTTCCAAGGAGCAGGGATAACTCCAAAGCTGCTGTGCCATCAAGGAAATGCCCAACTAATGCTGCAACTCGGGAGCCCTCTGCACGGCTCGTAGGCAGCCCAGCAACCCAACAGCCCAAGAAACGGTCTCAGAAAGGGAGCTTCTCTTCTGCTGTCCCAAACCCAAAAGGCTGCCAGTATCTCCTCCTGCAGGGGACCGTGGAGTTGGCCTAGTCTAGCTAGCTGCCTTGAGGGAAGCATTTGTCATAGGTTTTTCAGGTTAGAGTCCGTGGCTCCTAAGGCACGGCATGGTGCTCAGTTCCTGAGAAACCAAGGTACTCCCCCAGTCAGTGAAGCCTTCAGACCACCCAGGTATCTCTGCATTCCCTAGAAGTCAGAGAAGCATCTAGAAGTGTTGGGGGGTATTCACTAGAAAAGACTACTTGTACATGGGTTTCATAGAAAGTCTTCATTAGCCGGCTTTGACTACAATGGGTGTTCAGGATGTACCACTGAGCTTTTCTCAGGATGAGCTTTTAAGCACAAAAACTAAGGAATGCTATTGGGGTTCTGCCCCTTGATAGCCTTCACTCAGAGTTCCAGAAAACACGCTACCGGTGCCTGATAAATTTGAGGGGTTAACTAACAAATCCATGTGCGCAAAACTCTTTAGTCCATACACTTTATTCTTCTGAGTCAGTTCTCTCTCTATACAGCTTCTATTCTGCTCTCATACTTAGCTCCTTTCTTGCTGGATTTCTCTCTACATTTATCTACTATTCTCCCCAAGTGCTGTCTTGATTCCTTCATCTTAGTTCTACCCCATCTTGGTCTTTCTCATCTCGTTCTTACCTGCCTAGTTCTTCCCCATCAGGCTCTTCCTCATCTACCCTTTGTCCTTCTAGTTCTCCATCCAGTTCTCTAATCTAGTCCCCCAGTCTCTGAGGTCTATAGTTATATACCCATGCAATAGCAATGCTCTGGCTAAGGCAAGGTCACCAGGCTTGAATTCTTACAGGGTCATAAAGGCAGATAAGAGTTTTCCTCAGGCAGTGACTATCAGGTTTTCTTTTACAACCCAAATGGGGAGTGGTTAAGGGAGGAGGTCAACTAAGAGCTAAAATCAGTTAATATATCAGTAAAAGGGAACTCATGTGCTCAAACTACATTTTTAAAAGTGGTTAGGTAAAATGTTAGCTGTCTATAATGTTAGTATAAATACCACTAAGGCTGTATAAGAAAGGAGGGTCTGAGCTTCATTTGTGCAAGAAACAGCTCTGCCCCTAACATCGTCTGTCTCCTAAGCCTGTCTCCAGAAGGGTGTTTACCTTAATTCAGGAGACTCAGCGGTTGGTCTGAAACCCTTTGTCCTGTCTGCCTTTTGGCTTTGGATGCTAGAGAAGTGTATGAGATAGAATACACTGTTAGAAGTTCTTGGGGAAGGTATGAGAGCACACAAGAAATTCATAGCAGGAAACAGCTGATGTATTAAAAGCCAAATAACACCAAATACTCCTTGAGATTAGGGTTCCTCTGGAAGAATTCCCCTGATTCCTCCATGTATAGCTTTACCATAGTCTGCTGAATTCCTACTATATTCTTGCGGCTCATAAGCAAAAAACCATATCCTGGGTTGACCTACTTCAGTTAACCAGAACGGTTAGCCAGAAGCAGAACTACAGAAGCCAAAAAGCAAGGTTAGCACATTTAGAGACTTTCCCAGAACTACGGACTATGACGGATTAGGTCTTTGTTTGCATTTTGGCAGGTGGTGAGATTTACAACCTGAATGGCACTTCCATCATGGAGTCAGTTGTGCTAAGGTCTGGGCCCTGATACAGAAGTTTGGCAGAACAATTAGTCTTGGGTATTAATCATGTGTACCTTGTATAACTTGCAAATGTCACTGTATCCTGGCAACCACAATTGTATTCTTCCTGGAAACTGCCATTATAATCTGTTTCTGATAAGGGGATAAAGATTCTGATTGCTTGCAATAAACTTGTCTCAACATCAGTCTTAATGAGACCCCTCCAACCTCACTTGGTTTTAATTCCCACTGACCATATCAGGATACCCTGGTTCGGCAAGAAAGTGCTTACATTCTACTACAGTTGTGTACTTCTTTAACTGCTGGGGAGGGGCCCTCAAGAGTCTTCCAAGTTTTGGTTCTCTCAGACAGACATTAGAACAAATTCTAATTGGTCTTAGTAATAAAAACCAGGTGTCAGATATAGGGGCAAATGCTAAATGATCAGAGAGACAAATAGCAAGCCACAGCCACCACCTCTCACTTCGCCAACTCCTCAGCCTGAAAGAGGGCTGAGCTCCTGTCTCCTCCCACCTTATACTCCTCTCTCTGCCCAGCCATACCACTTCCTGTCTCCACCTCCATAGTGCTGAGATTAAAGGTATGAGATCCCAAGTGCTGAGATCAAAGGTGTGTGTGCCACTGCCTGGCTCTGTTTCTCTTTTAGACAGGATCAAGCTTGTGTAGCCCAGAGTGGCCTTGAACTGATCTTCCTGCTTCCTCCTCCCAAGTGCTGGGATTAAAGGTGTGTGCCACCACTACTTGGCCTCTGGTGGCTAGCTCTGCCCCTTGATCTTCAGGCAAGCTTTATTTGTTAAAGCACAAACCACATTTCCCCTTTTTATCTAAAATAAAAAAAGAACATAACTAATATAAGAAAAACTATATACAGTAAGTACAATAACTATATACAATATATATAGGCAATAAATACATCAACAATGTCCAGTCCATTAACATTTGACAAATTCAGAGAAAATACTCCATATCTATCCTATCTTGGCGAGTCCAAAAGGTTGTACCTAACTCACTTTCTATTCTGACTGATGCTACCAAAATTATCTTTTAATGTCTCTCATCCTTATACACAGACATGTGAGCTTCTATTTATCTCAAGAGCCCTGACTGCCTCCAGGAGGAAATCTTTTTAGTTGGGAGGAAACTGCTGTTCAGTACCATACAGCCTGCAGGATCAATGACAGCAGAAGCAGCCACTGTTCACATGGCCTCTGCCAGTAAAGCTGGGGACCAGCTCATAGGCCCGCCCCCGAGACTGACTTCTGCCTGCCAGGTCTTACTCCCTAAAACTCCCACGACCTTCACAACAGCACCACAAACCCAGGGACCAAGTGTTCAAAATGTGAGTGTGGCATTTTAAATTCAAACCGCATTTGGCTCACAGTTAAATTCAAATTCACATTTGGCTCACAGTTAATTTTGTTAATTCATTTTAAAAGAAGATTTATTACTTATTATATATACAGTGTTCTGCCTGCAGGCCAGAAGAGGGCACCAGATCTCATTACAGATGGTTGTGAGCCACCATGTGGGTGCTGGGAATTGAACTCAAGACCTCTGCAAGAGCAGCCAGTGTTCTTAACCTCTGAGCCATCTCTCCAGCCTCTCTCTCTCTCTCTCTCTCTCTCTCTCTCTCTCTCTCTATATATATATATATATATATATATATATATATATATATATATATATATATTTATTTATTTATGTTTTTGTTTGTTTCCTTTTTCTTTCCCATGAGCTGTGAACTTTTGGAGAGCCAAGGACTTGTTGGCCTGAGTCACTATGTGGCCTGGGCATAAATCTCAGGATGTTACCGTGGTGTGATCAGCAGTGCTGCCCTACAGGCTCCTGTTCAGCTTGGGAGTGAGACCCTTACACTGGCCACTGAGTTAATCAGTTCAAATGGGAGTGGGGTGAGGTGGGGTGGGGTGGGGTGGGGGATAACAAAAAGGCCATTAACTGTAAGCAGGCTCCTTGACTCAAAGCATCAGTCACAAGAGCATGAAGAAAAAGGTGTGGCTGAATAATGCCCCTTACAGCCATTGAACCAATCAGATTTAAGCACTATGAAGTAGTGGGCACTAGAGAGGCCACACCCAGTGACTCAGATTGCCAAGGCCATCTCAGGAACTGAAGAGTAAAGAGAAGAAGACCTGCAGACTTTGGGTTTGTGATGAGTTATGGACAATGAGGGAGCAAAGTGTGTATGAGTGTGTGTGTGTGTGTGTGTGTGTGTGTGTGTGTGTGTGTGTGAAGAAGTAGGATTTAAAAGAAGGAAAGAGACAGGGAGGGGATTCCAGGAAGCATGGGGAGGGAATATGGGGCCAGCAAGTCTATTCCATAGGACCATGGAGGGGTGGTGGACTCTAGATGTCCTATCCCTGGCTTGGGATGGCATCATCAGTGTCTTGTACCTCATTTGGCTTGGGCCAAGATGTTTGCGAAGCTCTAGCACTGAGCCCTGCCTCCTGCCCCTCATTGGTGGATTTTGGGCTTGGGTTCTGATGCTGCTGAGTCATCCCCCACCCGTCCCTGCTGCTGCTGAGCCACATCCCCAGCTCCTCATCCGCATGTTATAGCCACACGATTTTACCACTGAGCTAAATCTTCAGCCTCTTTTTGCTTTTTCTTTTGAGACCAGGTCAACACATTGTGTGGTAGTCTGAGCATCTGGGATGACGGGCCTATACCACCGCGCCTGGCTCAGACTCTCCTTTCTAGGGATCTCGGATGCTCCTTCCCGACACCTTTACCTTCTGTGCACAGCTTTTGTTCACCCAGAATCCTCTCCTTAGGCTGGGATCCATGGCTCCTGGGACCAAAATCAAGAACCTGGAGTCTCAGGCTCCATCAGGGAAGCGGGCCCAACAACCATTGCCTGTGTCCGTGCCAGTCATGCTGATTGCCTTGCCTCCCCCAGCAAAGGACTATCTCTGTCTCTCCATCACCTCCTTCTGCTTCTGCATCCTGCTGGCGATCCCAGCCCTGATGTTCTCCCTTAAGGTGAGTACCATCCAGCTCCTGATCACATCCCCCCTCCCGCTCCCTGTTCTCCCTCAAGTACCTCTTCATGTCCCATGGGGATCGTTCCCTCCCTCTTCACCATCTGGCTGCATGCCCCTTTTGGTTCCTTCAACTCCTGGGTCCTGCTAAGCTCCACTCTCTCATTCTGTTCCCTTCTTGGTCACTTCTTCTTCTCTTGGGGACCGAGCCCGACTTTCCAGGGATGCCCCTCCCTTCACCTCTTTCCTCTTGAACACCATCTTGCCTGCGTGGCCTTCACCTCCACAGACCCGTGAAGCTAACTACAATGGGGACTGGAGGCGAGCACAGAGGAACTCCAGGCTGGCCTTGGGCTTCAGCATCTCCAGCATCCTCGTGGGGTGCCTTCTGATGGCCAGCTCTGTTACATTAATATTTGAGACAGAGAGCATGACATCATCCTGAAGCCCACCTCATCCAGGGAGTTCTGTCTATTCTTGGAGCTTCTGACCTTGGAGCAACTGCCTGTGCTGAGGAAAGCTCCAGTGCAGCAACAATGCTGAGAGTAATAAAGATTTCGGGGAGGTTTCATCTGCTGTGTGTGGGGGTGTCTGGGCCCCCGTTCCCATGGCACCGTGGATCCACTTCTCCAGGTGCTGTGGGGCCCCTTCGGACAGTGTCATGGGCCATGGCATAATACAGCAGATGGCAATTTATATTCAGGTGTCAACCCACCAGATGAATAATCCTCTGATGGAGGAACCTCGTTCAAGCGAGGCTTACAAGGCAGGCCACAGACTGAATACCATTTGCTTCTGCTTGTAATTTCCCATGTGCAAAAACAGCTGTGGACTCTCCCCACCGCCTGGACTATAAGGTGTAATCTCGTGTAATGTGTACATGTAATCTCATGATTACATCTCAATCTTGTGGGCATTTATTCTGTGGACTGTCTGAAAGATGACTCCTCATAAAGCTGTATTGTCCATTTGATATCTATAATGTTAACTTACACAGAGTATAGTGAATAAATATGAATGCAAAGAAATACTACACAATTCAGGAATTATAAGTCCCTGAGAAGTGTTTGAATTCAGAGCTCAGGCTGACGTAAGAAAAGAGTTGCATCTCCCCAGCTCTAAGACAGCTGATTTAAGGCTTCAAAGTAACTTTAGATTAAGACTAGATGCCTTGCTAATGGATTTTAAGATATACTTTCCCAGAAATAGCAGTCTAGTTCACAAGGACATACGGAGCGAGCTGCCTAGGTTGTAAATACAAAAAAGCCCAAATATTGCTAGCTGGCAAATGATTTTGTCTTTGCACAATTCCTGATTTCAATTTGTAAAAATATATTCTGACTAGTCAAGGCTACAAAAATAAATAAATAAAATATCTTGACTCTGTAGCCCCTAATGAGGGCTGCAGGTGTTCTTAAGACAATCAGAAGTTACACGAAGGATAGAAAAAAATATATTTCAAGATTTTAAAACCTTTTATTGTCACTGTGCCTTTGGAGAATGTCATAATGAGCTCATATCAAGAAATTTAAGGTAAACCTGAGTTCCAACCAAAGCATTTATGACATAGCTCTCTTTCTGTAAACATTTCTAGAACGCTCGGCATTTCTGTTAATTACAAAATGTTAGTTTAAAATGTTACTACAGTTAGAAATATAGGATGTACGCACAAATTTCTTATTTCTCTTAGACTCCTCAAGAGTTTCACTATCTCTCTAAATAGATAACAATAATTGGATCTTCCTTTGGAGTTGCAGCTGCAGCATTACAGCCCCAGCATTCAGAGAGCTAAGATTTATTACAGGATTGGCTGTTTCTTATCGTTTTCTGAAATGTGACCTTAAAATATAGCTCCTGTATTCTGCATGAAAGAGGCTATTAAAAGTTGGAGCCAACATGAGAAAATAGACAGAGAAGCCAAGATGGGAAAAAAATGAGAGAATAAAAAAAAGTTACCATCAGTATGCCTGTGATCCCCCCCCCCCCAAAAAAAACCCACAGATAAAAAAATGTTCCTAAAGCCCTCGCTACTCAGTGGCATTCTTTTTACAACCCTGCAGCAGCCTTGAAAGCTGGTCTTACAGGTTGTGATAAGAGAGTAAACATTTATCAACGTCAGGGTCGGGCTCAGTCCTAAGGCAGATGGAAGAGGCACAGCTCTTTGCGGATGACTGTCAAGGGAAGACAGGCATGGGGTCTGCCTTAGCGTCTCTGCTGCTGTGATGAAACTCCATGACCAGAAGTAACTTAAGGAAGAGAGGGTTTGCGTTAGCCTCTTTCCCTTTTCCAGAGGGAAAGAAAGCATGGCATAGAAGGAGCAGGAAGCAAAGGTCATATTTTTGTCTTTACCCAAGAAGCGGTGGGATGGTGGTGGGGTGTGGGGTGGGCGGTGGGGAAGGAAGGGAAGAGAAAGGGAGAAGAGAAGAGATAACGAGAATGAGCTCTCCTCAGGGTTATACCTCGTCCTGCAGGAGCACGGCTCCATCTCCCACAGCTTCCAAACCTCCCCAAACAGCGCCACCAACTGGGGACCCAGTGTTCAAACACGTTAGCCTAAAAAGGAAGTTTCTCATTCAAACTCCCGCTGCGTTGCACGCCTATAGTCTCAGTACTGGGAGCCAGAGGCAGGAGGATGATGAGTTTAAGGCCAGCTTGGCTTATAGAGTGAGACTTTGTCTGAGAAAACAAAATCAGTACAATGACTTCCGTATGTAATGCCAGCGCTTGGGCGGCTCGGACAGGAGGAACACAAGTTGGAGGACAGTTTGAACTATAGACATCGCAAAAAACAAGCAAAAACTTAAAACTACAACAACAAGAAAACCCTTTCATTTACTGGGTTGGGGATCTAGTTCAGTGGCTAGGCATTTGCTTAGCCCGAGGAAGGCTCTGAGTTCAGTTCCCAGCACTATAAACAACAAAGACAAAAAGCTGGCCGTGGTGGTGCCTTTAATCCCAGTACTCAGGAAGCAAGAACAGGTGGATCTCTGAGAGTCTGGGCTAGCCTGGACTATGTAGCGGATTTCAGGCCAGCCAGTGCTACCTATGAGAACCTGTCTTAAAAGCAAAAGAAGGGGGTTGGAGACATGGCTCAATGGTTAAGAGCATTGTCAGCTCCTCAGAGGTCCGGAGTTCAATTCCCAGCAACCAGAGGGTGGCTCACAATCATCTATAATGGGATCTGATGCCCTCTTCTGGCACGCAGGTGTATATGCAGATAGAGCACCATATACATAAAATAGAAAATTCTAAAACAAAACAAAACAACAAAAACAAAAACAAAAAAAAACCGGACTTGGTGGTGAATGTCTTTAATCCCAGCACTCAAGAGGCAGAGGCAGGCGAATCTCTGACTTTGAGGTCGGCTTGGTTTACAGAGCGAGTTCCAGGACAGACAGGGCTGTTACACAGAGAAGGGGAAGAAATGAAAAGGAAATATAGAAAAAGGTTTCAGCCTGAGTCCTGGTGAAAAACTGTGAGTTGGGGGATGGGGGGTGGCTTATTCTGGGAGTTTAGAGGAGTGGGAACCTTGGGCTGGAGAGATGGCTCAGCGGCTAAGAGAACACTTCAGCACCCATGCCGAGCCGCTCACACTGGCCTGTAACTCCAGCTTCAAGGGATCAGACACATCCTTCTGGACTCCATAGATAGCTGCACTCATACATACAGATTCCCACACAGACACATGCAGAGTTAAAAAAATGAAATGAATCTTTAAAAAATGATTGAGTTACATTGAAGGTAAAAGAATTCTTAAGAAATGTGGTGTGTGTGTGTGTGTGTGTGTGTGTGTGTGTGTGTGTGTGTGTATGTATGTATGTATGTATGTGTGGTTTAAATTTAACACATGGTCTTATGTAGCCCAGTCTGGCCCTACCTTTCTATATTGCTGAGGATGACCTTAAACTTTTGATCCTCCTACCTCCACTTCCTGAGTGCTGGAATTACAGGTGTGTGCCACGATACCTGGGTTATTGTGGTGATACATTGTACCCTAATAAAACTTGCCTGAAGATCAAAGAACAGAACAAGTCACTAAACATAGATGTCAGGCAGTGGTGGCACACACCTTTAATCCTGGCACTCAGTTGGCAGAGATCTGTCTGGATCTCTGTGAGTTCAAAGCCACCCTGGAATGAGATTGACTCAGTCTAGGAGCGAAAGAGAGCCAGGCAGTGGTGGCACACATTTTTAATGCCAGCACTTGAGATCTCATGCCTTTGCTTGGGAAGCACACATGCCTTTAATCCCAGCACTAAGAAAGAAGTGATGGCTGGGCGGCGGCGGCGGCGGCGGCAGCGGCGGCGGCGGCGGGGCACGCCTTCAGGCAGATCTCTGTGAATTCAAGGCCAGCCTGGGCTACAGAATGAGTTCCAGGAAAAGTGCCAAAGCTACACAGAGAAACCTTGTCTCAAAAAAAAAAAAAAAACCAAAACCAACCAACCAAACAAACCAAAACCAAAAAAAAAAAAAACAACAAAAAAAAAGAAAGAAAGAAAGGAAGAAAGAAAGAAAAAGAAAAAGAAAGAAAAAAGGAAAAAGAAAGGAAGAAAGAAGTGATGGATAAAGGTATAAAAGGCACGAGGAGACAGGAACTGAAGCCTTTTCAGGCTGAGGAATCCTAGAGGTAAGATGTGGCACTGCCTTGTTCCTTTGTCTTTCTGATCTTTCAGCATTTACCTCAATATCTGGCTCTGGGTTTTTATCAATAAGACCATTTAAGAATTTATGTCACATCTGGCATCCAACTTCTGGGGCATGAATTCACGAAAAGGCCGCTTGCCTGTGGCTTAGGCCGGGGCCACACCAGGCCAGAGTGCCCACCCTGCCAGCTCAGTTTCTGTTGCAGCCTCTCTGCAGCAAACTCCACAGGCTTTTGGGCCCCCCAAACCGCAGGAGTGAGCCACTTTTCACACATTTTCCCTGTGAGATGGCTGATTCTTTCGCTTCTGTCCTCTCCTGGTGGGTTGTGGCTTTCCTTGGGCCCCCTCCTCGGGCTGCTGCCACACTGTCATCCGAATCATCACTGTCAGCAGATTTGGTGAGTCAATTGGGATTTTTTTTTTCAATTGGGATTTCTTAGAGAGAGAAGTTAGTTAAAAGAAAAAATTTTCCCCACATTATAAAATGGGAAACATTGTTACAATGGAAAATGTTTGGTCTTCAGTTAGACTATACATTAAACAGTATGAAAATGGAACAATTAAATGAGAGGATAATTAATGTTGATGGGATTTATGTAACGTCAATTATAAATATTATTTGTTTGATCATCTCTGTTTTATCATTAAAAATGTTGGCTAATATGAGTGCCAAGATAAAAATTTTAGAAAAATCTGTTAAAACAGAGCATAGAGATATTCAAACCCAGACAGAGGAATTTAAAGGTGAACTAATCTCAGCAGTGCGTTATATGGTTGCAGAGAAACAGCCTAAGGCTTTCAAACAGCCAACCTTAATCTATCCAGTAACCTTACAGGAACTACCAAATGATAGATATCCCCAAGCCTGGGTACAAGTTGATGGGACTCCTGTGCAAATGTTAGATTTGAGGAGATTCAAAAAAGCAAT